CTTACCGTAGTGATACTTTGGGTAGTCAGGCGGTAGAAGAGAAGATGATACTCAGACATTGTACAACTATGGCTGAGGAATAATTACGCAAACATGTTTTCAACTTCAGATTCAGGCTTTTGAAGGAAGTTCATTATCCTCTTAAGTCTGGTGACTTGAATTGCCACAAACTTGAAAGCGCTTAAAAAAAAAAAGTATCCCTGAATGTCTGTTTCTCTTTTTTTCCATACTCATCTTACTCCTAGCCTCTGCTCACTTGCTGTCTCATGCATTTCAATCTTGCTGTACTTAAACATGAACATTGTTCTTTTTTGCCTTGCTTGAAGGGGCTAAAGAGAGGAAAAGGAAAAATCACAGGCTTAAGGTGGACAGTCGTCTCAGTCATGTCTGAAGATGTTATATGTGAATTAGGATTTGTTGTTCCAGAGTGTAGAGCCACCTCTTTATGCCTGTTATAGGAGGAACAGATACTAAAATTTTGTACAGTCAAAACATAGACAAAAATTGGTTTTGGTAAGTACATACTATTTTTAAAACTGCTGTAACTATGCAGCAGGAGGCAGACTGTCACACGGAGCTAACAGATCCAAGAGTTTCTGCAGATTCAAGACGGAATCTCTAAGTAGAAGTTACTGCTGCACTGTGGCACTTAAATTCTTGCTTGATGCTCATCTACATGTCTTCATCCTTCTTGAAGAGCATTACCCTTAAATATGAACTGGTGTGGGACTCTAAATGTGCAGATGCTACCATTTTTGCTGGGCTCTTGATTGCAACATATATGTAATGTGAACGAATGGAAATGAATTATTGATATCCAAAACTTGCTGTATACTTATAAGAATAAGAGACATACATAACAAAAGAAGAAGTGGTGGAGGAAAATATCTTCTGTGGTAGGAAGATACATGTTTATGTTGAAAACTCCCTGGACTAAATAGAACATGAAAGGTGAAAATAATGTTTTCTGTGTATTTTTTCATATGTAGTAATAGTCCCTAATTTTCTGAATACTCTTTTTAAACTGTTTTCTGCGCTGCTATGTAGAAATCCCTCTTCTTTCCCATTGCGATACATGGAAAGCCTCTTCAGAGAAAGTGCGGCAGATGAAGAGAGGATATGATAAGAAAACAAGTGTAAAACACGAAGAAATGGCTGCACTTTGACATGTTATGTTTTCCTAGTTTGCAGTAGCACTTCACAATTTCCTTTTACTGTACTTTCATTAGCTTTATCTCTCTTTTTACTGGGATATTTTCTGTGCTGTAACCTTTTCTGACATAATTTTTTGAATCCAGGAAATGTTGCCTTCCACTAAATAGCTTGTGGCCCTTTGTCTGTATGTATGGCTTTGAATATAAATTGTTTATTTCTTTTGAACTTTGTGTGACGATTTTCTTGATAACATGGAAGTGCACAAAGTTGAATAAAACATTAAAAACATTACATACAGTAACACAATACAAATTTTTTGTCTTTAAAATCGAAGGATTTGTTTTGCTGCACGTTTTTCCCTCCCACTAAGCTACTGGCTTGAGAAAGGAGAAAACATGAAGAATGCAGAAGTACAAAATATTACAGATAATTCAGTGTAGGTGCACTTGATGACCAGTGACTATGTAGTCAAGTTTCACTTAAACTTTTCCACTTTGAACAGTGGAAATTTCATAACATGCACTGCAAAAGTGTCTTCAATATAATTAAATGTTTAGTAGAGACTAACCGTTTTCATGACTGCTGTCAATCTTTTTGTAAACATTCTTTTAAAATACCTAGAGCAGATACTGTATGCTATACTAAGTATTTCCTTGGCTTTGCATCATGTGTGTTTCAGAAGGCTAATCAGAAGATGTGCTATGCAGTCCGTGAAGAATATGTTTTAACACATAGTATGTATTTGTGTGGTGATATGATGTCTGACAAGAATGCTTAACATTCATTAATTCATAAAGGATCTGACATTCAATAATATAAATAGATTGTTACATGTGCTAGTATCAGTAGTGTAAGAACAAGAGTCAGAGCTGAATCACATTGTTCTAATTTCAGTCTTGCTTTGCAAGATTGCCTAATGCAGATGATATTCATCTGAATTATCAAGTATATGGCCAGTGCTGTAAAGTCCACATGGGATTTCATGTAGGAGCAAATAATGGGACACACACAAAATAGTTTGATAGGGAAAGTGCTCGAGGAATAGAAAATAGAAAGATATTGAAAGGAAATGTTTATTTTGAAATAGATCTCAATCAGTGAGTTAGAAGGCAAACACTGAAAGAGAATTGGAAATAAATCGGCCATGAGAGGGAAGAATTAGAGGGAGTAATACATGAAGTCAAATTCAAAAGGAAGCAAAATAGTATGGAATGTTGACAGTGCTGGAACTGATGTTTTCACTTTTTTTAGTGGTATGCTAGAAGAAAGATACAGGAAGTATTTTCATCTATAAGTGTATAGAGCTTACCTCTATCTAGACCTTCATTTAGGTATCGCTCAGAATAAAAAACTTCAGATTTGACCTTTAATGAGCATGGAGACATCTTAAAATCTGAAATAAGTGTTTTAGTTTTACTGACAAAATGTATGTTGTTTTTTTAGAAGAAATTATTGGATTTGGGGCTGGATTTAAGTTGGCAAACTTTCAAAAACATTCACAAGTTCAACAGAGCCAGTTCTTGTGTTTCAGCCTAACTGGGCGCCATTTAATCAATTGGCTTTGCTCCAGATAGCTGAGAAGTTTTTCAAGAGTAACTCACAGTGTCCATGGGTTTTCACTGGCATTGGCTCCTGCCCCTCTTCAGGTAACTTGTTTATAGTGATATTTTCTACGTTCAGGAAGAAGCTTTGAGCAGCTAATTTAGGTAGAAGAGGAGGAGCTCTTTGTGTGTATTTGGTGGCATTTTGCTGTGGTTCTTTTGAGTTTGGCAGTACGGGTCAATGTAATTAAGTTTTGTACTTCCAGAACTAAATACACCATTTGTGAGTTTATTTATAATTAGCGGTACTTTTTACGTTAATTCTGATTCTCTGCAAAGACAAGCAATTTTATGACTTTCAGTGTGTTTACAACATTTGGCTTTTTTCCCAAGAGATTTTTAATCTTCTGTGTTTGAACGGATGTGTAAACCAAAGTATTGCTGCATCATATACTTTGGTCGTCTTTAATAAGACATAGGTGGATGCACATTTATGGTGGTTTAAAATACTTTTAAGACAGGCTTCGACATGGTTAGGCTTGTATTCTGAGCAAGTTTGCCTGAATTAAATTATATATTGCCTGGTTTCCTGACAGAGCGACAAATACGCTAGGTCTTATCATAGTGAGATCTGAACACTGTAAATATTTTTCATGCAAAAATTCCATCAAAATAAATGTTCTAATACTCACATTGCTTTCTCCTTCAAAATACATTTTCCAAGTAAATTTCTTTAACCTGTAAAAAAAAAAGTAAACATTTTAAATGGATGTGGAATTAGCAAGATACCTGTAGGATGTTTATACCATAGATAACATCTGCTAACTCAATCTTAATTTTGTTACTATCGTCATAACATTATTATTGAGACATAGGGTTTTTATCTTCACTGGGGCCTTGGTTTCAGTTTTGTGTAGTATAACTTTTAATAGTGCAGTGAGATTTTAATCTTGGGAGTTACGCATTTAGCTTAAACAGTGAAATGTATGCCTGTAGGTCCCTTACTATTAACATCTCTCTCTGTATGCTAGTTTGAGGTTATTTGCCAAAGTAATGGATTGAGAACAGATGTGAGATCCTAAAGCTCAAGAACATTGTGAACAGCCCATGGAAATAAAGGAAGTGGACATGGATCAAATAGAAACACATTGGGAAGAAACATTGTAGATCCAAGACCAAATTTTGAACTGCAAATGACAAGGTGTGAACACATCATGTGTTTTCATCTTTTAAGTAGTGTTAGGAGAGGGACTGAGGACATCACTAAGCAGCTGTTCTTTCCCCGATCTCGTTTGGGGGATGGAGCAGGGAAAGGTAATGTTACTTTTCTGATTTTCGTGTTTTTTCGCACTCTTTGAAAACATCCTTTAACATTCATGTTTCCCTTGGCTTGCCTTTTGGGAAAGGGGAGGTTTTGACAAGAACTTGTGAGGATCTGTGAAAAATAACTGAGGTGTAAAGAGGGTTATGTTTTTTGTGCTAGACATTGACTGTCAATGCATGATGAGTTGTTCTGTAAAATGATCTTCTTTGATTTAAACATTAACTTTTTATTACCATTACATTTAAAATTTTAATCTTACCAGTTTAAATCTATCAGAATTATAATGAAAGTGTTGTGTAAATTCTTATTTGTGTTCATTTACAGGTAAGTATAGTGATGCCTTGCCTGAAAATATCTTTACAACTCTGAATTAGAGATTGTGATATTTACAAAAATGATTTTCCTTAATTTGGTATCTCTGAATAGTGTTATGATTATTTGTAGTTTTGCTTTGAGCAATTTGTAAATTGCTGAAGTAATTAAGAGTTCGGAATGTGTATTGTGCAAAATCGTGTAACATACATTAACAAGCAGAAAGCAGCGATTCCAAATAATCTGTTAATCTTGATACATAATATCTTCCTGAATAAATTTATCTATTAAGACTGTAAGCTATTAACACAGGCATTTTCTGTTTATATATAATATATAATATATTTGGCAGTTGTAACTGAAATTTGAGTCCTGTGGCACAAGATTAAGAATTTTTTATAACCCCTGTTTATATGTCAGAGAGCTTAGAGAGGTCCATCATTTAGCCTTGCAGTTAACCTGTTTAGAAAACTATCCCGCCTATCCTTAAAGAACTGAGACTTACCTTCAGTGTCCCTGGAAGTTTGTGACTGACTAGAGAGTTTACACTACAGCTCTGAATCCCGTCCTTAACACTCAAACCATTGAGTGCTAGCTAAGAGTGATGGGGTTGGGCATAATAGAGCTCATCACTATGTTTTGACGATTTCCATGTCTCATTTTACTAGAAAAATGAAGAAAGCCTGGAAGAAGGCACAGCAGAGAACAACATTATCAAGGAAGGGCAAGAAGTGTTGGCGAACAGTAAGCAGCAGCACCTGTGCATTATGCATCCTGTGACGCAAAAGAACAAAAAAGTGCATAGAATAGGTTCAACCACCTTCTTGGTTGGAAAGACACCTAAAGGAATCCGCAGGTGAGACTGTTTTGGTGAGGCGGAAGTAAAATTCTAAGCTTGAAATGAACGTACCTCTGAGCAGTTGCTTTTGTCTTCGTTTCAACCGTCCTCAGGAAATATTGATGATTTTCTGTGACAAGAGCAAAACTAATGGGGAACTTCCACTCACGCTTTACAGGGTACTATAATTGATTAATAAGATGAATTGAACCCACAAATCACTTGGATGTGTTGATTCAATGTGTCATATATTGCATAGCTGTGCAGATGTCATCACCACCAGTGTTCATGGTATGTGTGCCATCCAGTACCACAACACAATATTTAAACTGTGTAGAAGCAAGAAGTTTTACACTGTGAGCTTCTGACTGCCTGCTGGTTTTGCCCAGCTTTTATTACTTTCATTGAAAGACTGCTAAAAAAAATTGGATTTTGTATTTATTTTTTAACATGGGACTCAATATTTTTTTTAACATGTCGTTTCCCTCATCATGCTTGGAAGGATAATAATTTTTTTGTCCCCTCTTTTTCTGTTTTTCCCCAAACTGTTGCTGCTATTAATACAAATACTTAAATTCTATTATTACGTAGATAGAAGTTCAGTAACAGTAGCCAGATGGTACCTGGAAATAGAAAGCGGAAAGCTGTTGCTAACTAAGCAAACCTATAGAACTGGGATTTGTTACATATTTTTAATCCAGCCTTGAGACAAATAAATTGCTGTGAGAGTTGGTATCTCAGTAATACCGCTAAGGGTTCTGAATCTGTCATATTAGCTAGCTGGCCTCAGCTATCCAGACTGTTATTGTTGAAGTGCCAGACTTGCTTACTGTTACAGATACTGAAAATCCTAAATCTTTGAGAGGCAGGTAGAGGAGAACCCTTCATGCTAAAAATACTCAAAATTGTAATCTTAGTTAACAGTTTATTGAGATAAAAATTTTCAAAGGCCTTGAAGTAGTTAAGGATGTTATTCCAAGATCCTAAAGCCACGTCTAGCGAAAAGCTTAAGCATGTTCGCCCTTAAATGTTAAGCAGGTCATCCATTAGCACCTTGCTCGGAGTTGTACTCTGGATTTGCTGTGCAATGAATGAAGATCAATAGGTGCCTCAGTTTGGTGTGTTGTGGTTGTAGGGCTGAGTGGGAAGCTCTCTGCAATCACCACTCACAGAGGCTATAGCTGGAGCTAGCCAGTCGAGCGGTATTTGAAGCCAAACAGGGTTAAATCTCTCAGCGAGCCCTCATACAGGAAAGGCAACATGTTTCATACCTGTCCTCTGATAAGGGAGCATAAACCCACCTCTCCAGCCTTCCGTTTAGGTTACCTGATCCCAAACTGTGGCTAACTTGCTTAGAATGATATGCTTTAGAGCTTGGCCTCTTATCAGAAACAAATATTCCACAGCTCACTAGGTAGAATGGACGGAACAGTCTCTGTCTTCTGTGAATGGACAGTTTGTAAGCTGAGGAAATCACACAAGAGTTTGAGATTCAAAAGTAACTTCAGCTCTTCTAAGCTCACTATTCTTTCTTTTCTTTGCTAACAAAACCAAACAAAACTCCTAATAAGGAAGTTACGTTTAATAATTACTTGCTGGGATATGTGAAGTATGTGAATTGAATTAGTTGCTTGAAAGCTGCTTTTGTTTCTAGCTAAAGGTGTCAACACGTTTTTCCTTCTTGGTAATTACAGGAGGCAATTTGAGGAAATGGTATCCTACTTTGATATGGGATCAGTGGAAGAACTAGCAGAACATATTGCAAAAGCTACATCAGAAACAAGGCAGAAGATGTTGAAGGAATTCTATGTTTCCAAGCATCCAGAGGTGGAGTCTTTCTTCCCCGTTGAAATACCAGCACAAGCTTCACATGATTATGAGGAAAGAGAATCGGGTATAACATGCTCCAGAAGAAAAAAAAGCATTGCAAATTTCAGAAGATCCAAGACTAGATCTTCATCAGCTAAAGATCCACTTCTGAGTGGAACTACTGAAACACAGAGCCAGCAGAGTCACAAGGGAGAAGTAGAGCAACTTCACAATGACTCCTACATGCAAGATATGTGTGTTGATGCAAGATATAAACAATCGCCCACTGTTGCTACTCAACATCTCGAAAGGAGAAACAGTCAGGCATTCAAGGATTTTATGGCATCTGGCTCATTAAACAGTAAATCAGAAATAATTGAGGTGCTGTCTTTAAAAAGTTGTGAAGGACAGCAGGACTCCAAAGGAACACAGCTGCCAAGAAAAAGATCCCTGTCTCAGTCAGAAAATGGGGAGAGAAAAGCTCAGACTTGTAAGAAAAAGTCTTTTGTGGACTTACTTGGAGATACCTCTCTTCTCAGTGACCTCTTTAGAAATGGTGGAGACAGGCCTACAGAATCACAGAGGAGATTCCCTTCAGGGCAGGTAGAAAAATCAAAGGAGAGACCGAAAGACTTCTGGGACATGCTGAATGAGCAGAATGATGAGAGCCTCAGAAAGCTCACAGACATAGCAGTCATAGAGAAGCTATGTGAAAGAGCACCTCAGCCCTCAGTGACAGAGGAGAGAGAAGTGTGTGAAAGTTCTCTTTGGAAAAAAAATGAAAATTTTCTATGGAAAAAATACAGTCCTGATGATTCAGATGAACCATCCACTGCTACATTGTGTAATGTAGTAGAATGAAAGTTTTCTGTGTGAGTTGCACTATAATTACCTTAAACATTAAAGTATGCGTAACTTCAGCAGTATGCAGCCAAACGTGATACCTCCATGAAATTAAAGGCACAGTAATGAATTTGTATCTAATGATGATACGGATTTACATTTTACAGGTGTGAATAAACTATGATATATTAATTTTAAATTAAACTTTTTTAAATTAAACTTTTTTGAATGTTCTGAGTGCTCTTTGCTTTCTTACATCCTGATTTGATTTCTAGACTCCGTAGCAGTCCTAAGTAATTTTTCCTCTTTACTTCCATTTGGACACCCTCAGTCATCGCAGCAGAATCTAATGATACTAAAAAAAAAATTGACAATGATACTCCACATATTTTCTGAGGTACTAGAGACTCAGGGACTTCATGAGATAGGGGTGACGTCTTTGTGTCTAATCCCCCTGGGATTTAGGTTTCTTTTTTCTTTCCTTCTCTGATTTTGCTCTGTCTCTCTGAAGCTGTGGAGCTTCTAATTATGTCCTATAGCAGTGAGTTTCTCTGCTTGGTTGATGTGAAAAATCACCAGGTTTTTTGTTCACTTGTATTCAGTGCAAGACCTACAGCACATTAAATGATGTTAGGTGTCAAATTTCATCTTTCACTACACTTTCTTCTCCCATTTTTTCTTTTTGTAGACTTCTGTTATGTCTTTGAGGTGATGTGATCTGGACAATACTTTGGTGGTATTTACTTTTCTATGCAAGGAAGATAACAGGCACAGTCTTCTAAAATAAAAAAATACACTGTTTCCTGATGAATTTCAGGAAGAATCTAATGCCATTCAGTAATTCAGACTTACTGTTGTTTCCATTTATTTAATACGTTTGAGTGTCTGATAGGAATAAAACAAATGCAGTTTATACTTGGAAAACTTATTTCTTGCTTGGCTTAATAAATGAAACAAGTTTCATTTTGTGAGCATTGTAGTCTGAAAAACTTTCAAATACATTGCTATAGTGCCTGTGCACTTAGAAAATATCATGTAATTGCATGTGTAGATTGCTGATTTATTTAAAATATGAATAGTATGAGCAATTTCGTAGGTATTTGGCTACTTTTTTTTTAAACTCAAGTGTATATTGCAGCTTGAATTCAGCTTCTGTTGATAGTCAAAAGTTTTCATAGAATCATAGAATGGTTT